GCTGGGTTTCGGCCTGGGGGTGGGCGCGACATCTGTGCCCTTCTGTTTTCTGGATCTGCAAAGGGGGTGGCAGCAGCGGCAGCAGCTTGAGCTCCCGGGCCTTCAGTCCTGCCCCTGGACCAGACAGACCGGGCACTGCCCAGCTGGGTTCCCAACCTTGGTGCTCCTCTGCAGGCACCTCTTCCCTTCTTCTCCCAGGCCAGCATAGGAGGGGCTGCAGAGAGTTGCATAAAAGAGCTGGCAGGCAGAAGAGGCAACTTGGGCACGGGGAAAAGCCGCGCCAGTCTGAGAAGGGGAAAAAAAAAAGAGTTTGTGGCAGGAATTAAAGGAATTTGCTAAATGAATGAGGGAACAGGAAGTGGATTTGCCAGTTACCCTCTGCTTGCCCCTCCCTTTGCCCCTGGGTTCAAAGGCATCCATTTCCAAACCCACCCACCCCCTGCCCTGCTTTGTTGTCTCATGTTTAGGACCCGGCGTTGGTTTTTTATGTTCTTCCCTGGCAAGTTATTTCAGCAGCTTTAGGGGTTCGTTAATGAGATGTAGAATCTGCAGATGTGAGGGCCCATGGGCATGATGTCCTGAGATTGTTCTGGTTGAGAAACGGCAACTATTTTAACACTTTAATCGTGGAAATGTAAGTTGCGATGCCTGGCTGAGAACTTCACTACTCTTCTGCAGCGTGAGTCTGAACACGTTTACTTGGAAGAGGTCCCGCCGTGTTCACCAACGTATACATCGTCTTGCAGCCTTAATTCAGTTTGCCAGCAGTGTTGAAAGCTTGGACCAGAATTCAAGAAAAGTTGTGGCCACAGTCACCGTGTTTCTGTTCTGTCTAACATTCTAGTTGATTGCAGAACATACCAGTCTTTTGGGATGAAAGCCCGATCCCATGACTAAAATTGGGAGGAGTTCTTAACTCTTTCCAATCAACAAATTTTATTAAAAGGTAAAAGCTTTCGTCAGCTGTAGCTCATCTATACCTTTTTATAAAATTTGTTGGTTGGAAAAGGGGCCACCAGACTTCTGGTTTTTGGCTACCATAGACTATAATGTAACTGTTCTAAAAAAAAAATCTTGACAAGTTTAATTACAATTATCCCACATTTCCTTTTTAGAAAGTTTAGGTTTTGTATAATTTGTTCCATCTCCATGTTGCTGAATGTTTCCTGGTATGCAGTTTCCAATTTCTATCTTTTCCCCAAGAGCTGTTGGTGGTTTGCCTCCTTCCTCCCTTATTTTCACAACAACCCAGGGAGGATGGACTCAAGATTTGAACTTGGTTCTCCCCACTCTTAACTTGACCTCGTAGCTAAGTGTAGGCAGCGTGGTGTCCTTTGGGAGTTGTACTCTTGATCAATCTGGTTAGGGCAGATGGGAGTTTGTACGTAAAAACATTGCTGTGCTGCCATTGCCATATTATTTTTGGTATTTGCTGCATCTCTTGCAATTTCTTTGCTGTTTCACATGTTGAGTTACAACAGTAGCCAAACTGTCAGTCAGTTACAGAGCCTGAATTGCAAACAGCTGAATTCCTTGAGCAACTTCACATTCTAAAGCATCACCTATTTTTATAAGAGGAAAGTCAAAGTAATGAGTGCTCATTAATACTGGTTTAAAATTATGAAAAAATAAATATGATTAGGTGAATTAGATTAATTCAGTGGATGTGACCTGAACATAAATCAGAGAAAGCTCTGTGTGGAAGCCTAAATTTATTGGAAACAATGGAATTCTTTTTTTTTTAATTTCTGCACCTTTCTGAAATGTTCTGGAGAAACTAAACCCATTGACATTCTCTAAAATATCTGATCACCTTAGTTAAAAAAAGTTTCTGATCCATAAGAGTTTTGTTTGCTTTAAGCCTAGTATAAATGGTAAATTGACTATATACTAGTACCCACTAACTTCATGTGGAGTCATGATCAGGTTATTTTAATAGATTTAGTTGTTTTATTTGGATAAAAACAGCCAACCAAGCTCAGAGCACCAAGGACTCTACAGTTCAACCCTGAGCTAGATATTTTCTTCTATTGGAGTTGTCTTAGTATTAAAACCATGCAAGGATATATATATATCAACATAAGAAAAATGGTACAAAATACTGTGTTTAAGTCTGCAAGACATTTTGGTGAACACTGAAGACACCTACAGATTCTTGAAGAGTAGATTGCAAATAATTATGCGAGGGAAATGTTTATTGACAGACTAATTCCTTCAGAGAATGCAGTTCTTTACCCTGAAGAATGGGAGCTGAGACATTCCAGCTGATTTTATCCATTCTTTCCAGCTAATTGTGTGGGAACAGATATCCAGTTGAAAGCTCATTTAAAACCTTGAGAAACAATCTTGACTCATTAGCATTGTAGAGCTATCTGCTCAATATCTGTTGAGTTGCTATGTGGAAGGGGCTCCATTTAGATATAATAGTGAGTTAGAATTCTTTGGAATTTTGAGTATATTTATATCAGGAACTTAAAGCAACATATATAGGGCTTCCTGTTCCCATTTTTCTTCTTTATAACCACTCTGGGAGGTAGGTTGGATTGAGAGGAAATGACTAGCCCAAAGTGAGCTTCTGAGGCTGATGGGGAACTAGAACCTGGGTCTCCCCACTCCTAGTCCACCACCTTCTCTATTACACCCCACTGAGAGAGAGTGATGGGCCCCTGGAAACTTCCATGGCTGATGGGGAACTAGAACCTGGGTCTCCCTGTTCCTAGTCTGACACTTTCTTTGCTACACCACAGTGGCTGTATTAGCAGGGAACATTTGGCTACTTGTTTCACCTTTATTCTTCCTCCTAGCAGGAATGACGTGAAGAGTCAACCTGTTGTTGGCTTAGTTTGTGATATGTGAACCAGAATCCTTGGCTTCTCCCTCCCAAACCATGTAGGAATTGGAAATGAGTCCAGCTATTGTAATTTATAAGTACAGGTAGTCCTTGTTTAGTAGCCACCTTGTTTAGTGACTGTTCGCACTTGCACTTGATGAAAAAGTAACTTTGCAACCAGTCCTTGTATTTATATTGCCTGTAAGGCAAAGGAAAGCTGAAGTAAGATCACAAGCACAATAGTGGTTTCACTTAGCAACCACTTCACTTAACGACCAAGTTGCTGGTCCCAGTTGCAGTCGCTAAGTGAGGACTACCTGTATCCCCAAAGGATTTGATGGTTTTGTTATGATCCCACCAACTTGTGGAAGCTGGAAGGTATTTTAAAACAGAAAGTGTAGTGCTTAGCTGAAAAACACTTGCATGCCCCTGGTTTACGGCTTTAGCATGTTGTATGAACCTGGTCAATTGTGGCTCCACACCCTGGTTAAACAAACTGTGGCTTATATGTGGAACTAGGTTGGAATGTCTGGGCCATTGATTGCTCAGGATCAGTTGCTCTTTTAGTATACTTTTAGTGTACAGTGGTACCTCGGGATACGAACGCCTCTACTAACGAACTTTTCGGGTTACGACCA